GACCGCGCCGCCGATAGCGAGAGTGCCAGTCATTTGCATGTCTTAATGCGGGGTGGCCGGCAGAAAGTTGAGGGAGAAGTATACAGCCTCCTAGTTCTTTGCAAGTTGGGACAGCGGATGGCGGAGCTTGAGGCGGATTGGTGTTTTCTGGGCTTCTGCTCAAGAGAAAGGTACATCGAAGGCTCAAGATGGCCCTACCTCTTTTCATTGACTTGTGATTGGACGACCAACAAAAAAGTTCTGGCGGCCTACAGGAACTCTCTACAGGACCAACTCAAGCAAGCTTGGAAGGTGTCTGACAGTATTTGGACTTTAACACGTGGGGAAAGTTATGGCAATACTATTGAGTATTCAACTTGGCTGTCATTGTTGTCGTCAAAAAGGGAGGCGCTATGGAGTGGGAGCAGAAGGAAAGCTATAATTTCCATGTCAAGCGAACTGCATGTGAGGCAACGAATGTTAGAATTAATCGCCAAGGAATGCCTTTCAACTTGTCGGGAAAGCAGCTAGATAAAAAGAGAGAAGCATGTCTGGGAAAGGGACCGAAGTTCTCCGTTAACGTGAAGCCATCTAATGTGGATATTGTATCTGATGTGCTTGAAATCACGAAGAAAATTTCTGATCAGGACAAGAAAAAAGTTTTTATTGATGAATCAATAAGGAAGGTCTCAAGGATAGTGGATCAGACTTTTTCGAGGGATAAGGTATCCTGTAAGATGTTCAGGGATGTAAAGAAGGACCTAGAACAGAAAGAGCTTACTTTACTTCAGACGGACAAATCAGGGAGGTTTGCTGTCCTAGGGAATGACATGTTTAGAGCAAAGGCAGCTGAAGCGGTTGATAAACTTTTTAAGCCGTATGTTGGGGACCTCAAGAAAGCGAAAAGGAATGTGGTAGCTGTGCTTAAGGAGTGTGACTTTCAGACGGTGGTAAAGAGGCTAGGGGAGGTTTCACAGGCTACCTTAAGACTGAAATTTTTGTTGAAGGACCACAAGGCTGGCTTCCCGTTGAGAGTAGTTGTGAACGAAAATGGTGCTTGGCAGGGGGTGTTGTCGGTTTTTATACAAAAGTGTCTAACCGGAGTGGATTTCGATAGCCCGTTATCATTGAGAAACTCTGAGCCATTAATAGAAATACTGAATCCTCATCACGGGAGAAGCTGCGAAGTAATAACTTTAGACATCAAGGATCTTTATTATTCTATGAATAAGTCGGAGCTTTTGAGGAAGGTCAGGAGGTGGTGTGATGACCATCTAGTAAAATTTCAGTCTTCCTCTGGAATTGATGTGGATAGCTTTATGAGCATTCTGGAGTTTTATTTGTGGTCCACTGTTATAGACTTTGAAGGTGCTTTTTTTATCCAAAAAGAGGGAGTGTGTATCGGGTCTTCAATTGCGCCAGTGTTATCAGAGATTTTTTTAAATGAAATGGATGTTTATGTCGACGCGTTTGTGCGGTCTTTGCCGAGTGGAGCTGTTGTAGTTCGTCGCTATGTAGACGACATTTTGATTTGTTCTTTTGAGGAAGGGTTAGCAGGGACGGTTAAGAAGTGTATAATAGAAAAGTGCCACGATTCGACGTTTACGGAGGGAAGCACTCTTCAGGGCAAGATTCAGTATCTAGACCTCCTACTACACACACAAAAGGGCTTGTGTTGGAGGTTTGGTAAGGAATCGGCAAAACCCTTGTTGGCTGCTGACAGCTGTCACTCGAAGTTAGTCAAGAGGGGTGTAATCGCATCTGTGGTAGATAACGCGTGTAAAAAGTCATGTTATACATCACGTTGGAGAGGCGATAGGGTTGCAAAAGTTGCGTCTTTTGGAAGCGGGCCATCACCAGGATGTGATTTCTAGCGTTGTGCTCAAGGTGTTAAGAAAGTTCAGTTCGGCTCCGGTAGAAAAACCGGTTCTGAAAATGTGGTCTGTGTGTCTTACTATCATGGAATATCTCACAATTTGAAGTCAGTGGCTAAGAGGTTCGGAGTAAATTTAGTTTTCAAGGCACAACATAACACAAGACACAACAAACACAACAACACAACATAACAGGGTTGCCTAAAGAAACACCAAAACCCTGATTTAACTTGTCAAGTAGGAGTTGTATACGACATTCCGTTGCGGTGTGGGTTGTCTTATGTAGGTCAAACTGGTCGCTGTTTGAATGATAGGTTGCTGGAACATAAAAGGGCGGTAAAAGACAATGCGCAGCATTCAGAAATAGCTAAACATGTTGTAGACTGCAATCACTGTCAGCCTGAGTGGGGGGATACCCAGGTATTGCATAAAGAGAAAGAAAATGGTAGGAGAGTTGTGAGGGAGACTTTATGTATTTTTGGAGCGTGGCAATTGTGTCAGCACACCGTCCTTGGGTTTCGGAAGTGAACTGAAACGCTTTCTATGTCTCTAATTTTTTTTTTTTTTTGAGGGCTGTTTGAATGTTAACGCCGTGTCTGTTAGATAGGCCTGTTATCAGCTGTGGCTGGTCGGTTCCAAAAAAAAAAAAAATCTATATTTTCCTTTTTTTTTTGGGGGGGGGGGGGGGTGTTTTCATTGTTAGCAGGGTTGTTGTTTGAGTGCCTGTTTCATGGTTTGGAAAGGAGGTCGTCTGGGTCAGTTTTTGGTTGGTATGAAAGGAAGGGAAGTAGCATGTGTCATTGGTTCAGTTTGAGATGTCGTTGATGGAGTGGAGAGGAGGTGTGTCGACCTTTGGAGAGGAGGGTTGTGGTGTATATATAAGAGCGGAGGTGTTCAAATAAACTAGAAGCTGTGTTTGAGACTTGTTGTTGTTTTGTCCGTTTTTTATTTTTCCGTGTCTCCGGTTTACGATGGAAGTTCTTCACCAGCTCGCCTGTGCTTTTACCCTTTCTTCGGGAGAAGGTAGCATTTAAAATCCGGGCTTTAGGATTGGCAGTTTTCTGCCGACCGCCCCCGCGTTGAGACATGAACGTGACTGTCACTTTCGCTATCGGTGCGCTCGGGAACAATTGCACCGCGTGTCGCGATTTGGCCGCTCCGGTCATCGGTCACTTGTGATACTCTTTTTCCATTGCAGCTGTGCAGCCATGCAAATAATAAAAACTCCACGCGAGTGGGAGTGTTTTTTTTTTATGGGAACGTTTGGTTGGTGGCTTAGGATCGAAATAATGCTGACGTCAGGACTCGTCCATGAAGCAGACAGGCGGGCGCCAATAAACAAAACAAAACAAAAAAAAACGCCGTTATCATGTGTGTTTTTGCCACTGGGGTCTCATTGAAAAGAGGGGATTTCAGAAAAACATGTAAGATCGGTGATAGCTCGTGATGGTGCGAGATGGCAGAAACAAATAAATATAACTCAGCATTTTTTTATACAACGCTTTGATCTTTTTGTTGTACTGCTATTGATTTTGCCTTTCCTGGTCCGGCTTGCTTGAAACAGCGCCTCAGCTGAGACTGACTTCAAAAAGCATTGTCGAGGTTGGAACGCGCGAGCGCGTGAGCCACCATTTAAACGCGTGACTGAGCGCTACCTTTGCAACTTTTCCACACGCTCCATTGCCTTCCATAGCGGCCGCCGCGCTTTTGGTGTTGAGCTAGGGCGGCGCCTAGCTGAACACTCGGTCCCTCCAAGCTGTTCACGTGATATTTCTTGGCCGGCGCGCTCCCATAGGGAAACACGGAGTGACCTGGTCACCCCTAACAAAGCTGGTCGTGTACTATATATTGTCCATTATGAACCGATGCCGCAGGAAAGCGGTAGGCAAAGGAATGAATTGGGGGTTGTGTGTATGTTTATACAGCCTAGAACTTGGTCTGCCTCACAGGGGCGACGAGTCTCCCAGCTGTAGATGAGAAATTTAGCCAGTGCGGTACAGCCGCTAGCCTGGGGTCTTTAACGTGCGTCACGCAGTAGTGATACACGACCGCACGCCGGTACGATGCTCATCCAGATCGAAACGGGCAGGGGTGGGGCTCGAACCCAGGATCCCTGGGTTCTGCAGCGCGAGCTTTCGCTCCACGTGCTCCGAGCTGGTGTGCGCTAGACCACTCGGCCACCGATCCCCTTTTTTTTTTTTTTTTTTTTTTTTTATTTATCGGCCACCGATCCCCCTAGGTAGGCAAAGGACCGACTACTGCAAGCGTATCAGAAAGTAGGGGACTATTCTACATGTGGCGACGAGCCTCCTAATGATGATGATGTCAAAGGCGATTAAGACGCAGATTACAGGAGTATTTAACACTTAGTGGACACCGCTAGGTGTGCACTGAAAAAAAAATTTCGTTCAAAATGTCTTTAAATAAGATACATGCCTGCTAGTCTTTTTTTTTTTTTTTAGGAGAAAATACGAGGCCATTGTAGATCATGCTTCAATAAAAAAGAAGACAAAGTAAAAGAAAAAAAAACTCGTGACGGTAATGACGTTCTTTGGGTTTCAACTGGCCTAATGGTAGGTGGGACAATTCACCATTTTATTAGGTGTGCATAGAAGTGACAAAGAAAGTAAACGAATATTCTAATTTGATGAGCTGAAGCTGAATTCGCGAGGGATCCCGCCTATGCATGCGTCGAAATTCATGAGCTAGATGATATATTGCGGCCAGAAGCATATGCCGGTGAAAAAGTCGAGCGGAGAAAATGTCGGGTTTGTTTCGGCTTCCCATAGGATGTGTGCTTCATTTTCCATCAACTGCTTGGCTGCCGAGGGAGCTACAGCATAATAGGCGTCTGCCGCATTCTTCGCCGATGCGCCACCGGCAATATCGAGGCAGGCAATGAGATAACACTATTATCACGTCACCAGGCTTGAGGACCTGTAAACACACCAGTTCGGGACGCGCTCCGGGTGCCATAGCTTCCGTCTGTCAGCTATTCAAGAAACGGAAGCATCATTAAGGTCGCAGGAAAGGGCCGGATCGAGTGTTTTCGCTTGTCTTATGGGTGGGTACGTGCTTAGCTTACCATTCATTCTATAACTACGGTTGCATAACACAACGAGAAAATCCACAGCTTTTGCTATAGCAATGTCACCGATTAAGGTAGGTCATCGACCCAGAAAGTTAATGTATCAGTAGCGGCATGGGACTGGAATAAGTCAAATATAAATGAGAAACTGATATTGTAGAAAAAATAAAAGACCGCTTCCTTGTTTAGATATTGAAATGTCTCTATGTTTTTGTAGTCGTCACGTAAATAAAAAAAATAAATAAAAAAGTTGAACTTCGTAATTTCAAAACCTCTTCGTTTTTTTTTTTATTATTGTTTCCAGATGAGAAGAGACTCGGAGGACGAAGCCCTGACTCCTCGGGGTTGGTTCACGTGTTGTGCCACTACTCTCGCCATAACTGCCGTCGGGGCTGCCCTCTTTCTGCTTTTGTTCAACGGACCATATTCGTCCTTTGTCCTCGTTGCGCCCAAAGGCAATATGTCTAACGCCAATGGCGTCAAGCAAAAACGTGAGGTGCGTACTCCTCTGGAAGACAGCCCAGGAAAATGCGCGGTCGAGAATTGCGTGACCGCTGCGGGCGCACTCAGTGTGTACATGAACCAAAATATTGACCCTTGTCTAGACTTCTACGGTTTTGTTTGCGGAAACTATAAAGAAGCACAACGACGGACTCGTGATCAACTTATGGCCAGGATTTATGAACATGTCCAGAAAACTTTAGAGGAAATGACGATCCCGGACAATGGACTGACAGCTGTGCAGAAGGCCGCCAGTCTCTATCAGGCCTGCATAGGCGTTCGATGCAACACAAAAGATGAAATAGGAGCCCTGCGCCACTTTATGGACAAAATGGATCTTTCTTTGGTTGATATCGGGCGAGGAAGTCCACTAGAAAAGATTCTGCGGCTGTCCCTCGAATATAACATATTTTCTTTGCTTGAGGTAACGATTGACCACCTCGCCGATCCACAGGGAGAAAAGACAATTAAGATCGGTATAAGCACGGCTCACCTAATCTGGATTACAAGTCGCAAACGCTTGAGCAGTGATTACAAAGAGAGGTTGTATATGGAACACATGAAAGCTTATGGTCTCTCAGCTGACAAGAAAGAAACAATGAACGTTATAAAACAAATTATTCTAGGAGAAAACGAAGCCGTTGGTTTTCTTTCCGATGACAAGCTTCGAAAAATGGAGTCTTTTGCTCAAACCCCAATTGCCGCTTTCGATTTTATCACTCCCCATTTTAGTGCTGCAGTGTGGTGTGCTCTTTTACAAAAATACGCCTCAGGAATTTACCAGGAAAACAAGCCAGTGTTCACAAGCCCGGGTGCTGTGAATTACTTTGATAACCTTTGTGAAGTTGCTCAATGCCTTCGTCTTCAATTGTTGATTGCTTGGGAGGTCCTTCGTTTACTAGCTCCGCTTGCGTCGCCGTCTGTTGCTGCCTTGTACAACGACACTACTGGGCGTGAGATTTGCCTATCTGCCACTGCGAAGGTAATGGAAGTTCCGGTGCTGGCGGTGTACCTTTATAAAGCCGTGCCTCAGGCTTCCTTAAAAGCTGCTAAGGATATGGTGGAAGACATACGTAACTACGCTCTCCGAGTTGTTCGAGACGCTAAGTGGCTCCGCGAGGGCTCGAGATTCAGCGCAATAAGCAAGCTGCGCTCAATGGGTGTAGAGGTTGGGTACCCGTGTTCCCTCTGTTCCAAAGAGACAATGGACACTCGTTATAAGGCCTACCCTTACGCGGCATGTAATTTCCTCAGCGATTGGCTCAACGCATCCCATATGACCACCAAGTGGCTTCTGGGAGACCACGGATGCGTTAATTACCCAATCACTGCGGAAGTAACTTACATATCATCGAAGAATATGATAATCATTCCGGCTTCGAACTTGTTACCACCTGTATTTGATCTTGATGCTACGAACTCGACCAACTTCGGAGGACTGGGTCATCTTATTGCAACAGAGATGATGCGTGCGTTTGACGTCGATGGCAGTTTGAAAAGTCCCACCTGCGAAGATCGCCTCTGGTGGACACCTCTGAGGAGGTGCAAATACGAGAAAACGGTCGCCTGCTTCAAGATTGACCACGAGAAAGCGGCCAAAAATCACGGACATCGATTACATGGCACAATTGCCAACGTTATGGCTGACGTTATCGGACTGGCCCTTGCTCTGCGGCCCTACGAAGACTTGGCAGAAAAGAAGAGAGTTAAAGGGCTTCCTTTTGAGCCCAAGCAACTTTTCTTTATTGCCTCATGCGCTAAGTGGTGTTCTAGAGCACCATTCCAGGGATACGCCGGTAATACTCCGCCATCGTCACGGTGCAATGTTATGCTTATGAATATGCTGGAGTTTGCAACGGCGTTTAGGTGCCCCCAGAACTCTCAAATGAACCCCTCAAAGCGCTGTGATTTTTAACTGAACTTGTAAAAGGCGCCTTTTGTGTTCTTTCGTTTAACACTTTGAGTGTTTTCTCCAATATATAGCTTAGGAATGATAAAATATTTTATAATTCACCCTCTCGTTCTTGTTTGTTTTTAATCTGATGTCTTCTTATATGCGTAGTGAACCTAATGCATATTATGATCGAAGGAAATATATAATTTAAGGAAGGTATGTTGACATATTTGGGATATTTACCTCGATCAGTAAAACTGAAGATTCTGGTGAATCAACCGCGGTTTCGAAAATGCTACTTTACAGGTATCATTTTGGGATATATTGCTCTAAGTTCAACACGACAAGTGTCTGTGTTCTGCATGAGCAATGAATCGTTGCATACTAAAACGAATCTAAAAATTGGCGCCTCCTCGTAGAAAACTCAAAAGTACACAAAATTTGCAATTAGGTGCTGAATTTTACTCATTGAAATTTCAGTACGTAGTTCCCTTGCTGTGAACAATAAAACCAACAAACTTTCGAAGAGCAATGGCGGAGGTGTCCGCTGACTAACGAGTTAGCGCTGGTTGTAACGTGTGGCGGGAACTTTCGAGTTATACAAAAAAGTATGCTATACCACGGCCGGACTGGTAGCGCGCTCTCTCTTTCTCTTCTTACGGCCTTTGCCATCGCCCGGGAGTCAATAACATTTTTTCTCCGCATGTAGTTCACTTGCTTGCAGCTAGGGGCGCAACCACCTAATCCCACTCAGAGAGTCCCTTCGAGGTGCTTTGCGCTGGTGTTCGAGCTTCGTAGGTTGTTGTTTTGGCAACGGTTTATTTAACTTCGCTTCGATTTAAGTCACTCTACTCTAATTATGACGTAAAGTAAATTTAGCTAAGATATCTCGCCTTGTTTTCTCGAAGTCTTTCGCTACGGTCTTTGAAAACAAACATGGCGAAAACCGCGGTAACGACCTTGTGATGTTTGTGTCTCGTTTGCGTCGTTGTTTTCCCTGCTTCTGCATGATACGGATAGCATTACGAGAAACAAATATTATGCGAAGGTGCGCTGCGACACGGATCATCCTTTGTGAAGCCGCCGTGAACATAAGCTGCAAAGGAAATTTCCTGTTTGCCTGTGAAGGAGACTCCAAATGAATACGTCGACTCTGTGGTAATATATAACAAGTCATGAGATCGACGCAGAGTGCAACGGTTGTGAACATTCTGTAGATGGTGCAGGAACGTTTCTTCGGGCAGTTTTAATATTGCCTTGGTCCCTTTGCTCACTGCAGTGATTACGACGGTATCGTCTCCATAAGCCATGCTCTTCTCTTTCGGCGCTGAAGAAATGCACGTGACGGCATAATCTCGGGCAGTCTCTTTTACTTATTTTTTTATTTGCACACGTCCCTACATAGGTACCTCGCTATCCCATTGGCTTCATTGCGGGTGACGATTCAACGCTCTTTTCCATGGAAACGTTCGTGAAACTAGAAAGCCTCTGTTTGCCGCTAACAGTCATTTTTCGAGTTCGAGTTGTGACGACAAAATGACGTAAGAACAAGAATGCACGGGACTATTTTCATTGTTTTAACTCGACAACCGTACCCTTGGCGAGTTAAACTCGAAATAACATGGCCGCGATGCTTGTCGGATCGACCGCGGCTGGGGTTTGACTGGTTTGACAGGCGATCGGTCACTTGATCAACGCGCACACGTGCTGTTGGATGATCCCATTCGGCGGCAGGACCGGGTCGAAGAGCACAGTGAGCTGGCGTTCAACGTTTCCGATATAACGCTTGGCGAGATACAAGACTTGGCTTTTATTTGTGTCGGTGTTATGAAGCTTGAAAGTGGTGGTGTTGTTGTGGCTCGTACGGTAACCTTCATTCAGCGTTTCCATGCATTAAGATTGAAAACCTCACCTTGACACAAAGGAAATCACGTTTCCGCGAGCACGGAGGCAGCAGCCAACGGTCTGAGAAAGAATTGTGCTGCCGCCATTACCGCCAGCGCTCGCCCCGACGGCAAGAAAACAAACGACACGCTCATTGAGGTTTCTGTAGTGCTGACTGCTGATTCATCGGACGACAAAGGTGAATGATGTAAAACGCAACGTGAGTTTGCCACCGTTTTGCAAAACGAATACGTTTCGTTGAAAATTTAATTTGTGAAATTCGTTAACGCCTTGAAAGTTTGACGCGGACTGCATTGTGAACGCAGGCTTCACACAAGTGTTTTCTACAGTGTGTGCTGACTGCATGTATATAAAGACAGAAACCCTGCCCTATATGGCGCATAAAATAAAGAAAAATTTCGCTTATCTTGATAATGTTGACTATATATTGAGTGCTGTTGATAGTAGCGACGTAGCCAGGAACCTTTAAGGGGGTGGGGGTGGAGGGGGGTGAGGGTGGCTGGGATGTTCATGACTTGGGGTGCGGGAGGGGGGGGATAGTGTCGAAATTTGTGAGTATAGACGCTTTGCAGCGGTTGTGCGTGGGCGCCGCCATAACCGACCTTCATTTTTTGTTTCCTCTTATTCTGTTTACTTCACTTGGTTATTACCGCAACAGACCAGGTCTTTGCCATCTTGGATTCTATAATGTCCTTCTCCCCAGCATTGACCTTTGTGGAGGCTCGTCAACACCCGTCAACACCCGTGTGTACACTCTAGGACCCGCCGGATTTGGGGAGGGAAAGAACGAACCCCATAAGCCCCCCCCCCTCACCCCCCCCCCCCCCCCCTGGCTTTGCCACTGGATGATACCATAAGAGGAGCATCCTACATTTGCAAGCTGCTATAAGCATGTGCATAGCCACTGAGCTCGTACCACAATGGCAAGATAGTTGCTGACATTCTTTATGTTACGTAGCAGTTCTTTCTTTAGTACATATGCTCGCTTTTCCTTCACACATCTACTCTGCTTCCGCTTGTTCTTTATGCTTGATGGCGATAAGTCAACAGTCCGTATTTGCTCTGCATCACAGGCAAATTTCAAAAATTCAGCTCACACTACTCTTTAATTTCAATGAGTTACTGTCACTTTTTAAACAACAATCTATTTAATTGGTATCATAACCTTAACATTAAACACACATGTGTGGATGTAGAACAAATGTATCTTTATTGTTTCTCTTGGTCACGAAGATGACAACCATCCACAAGATTGCACTGGCCAAATTTCTCTACAGTGGGTAACAAGGTTACCATACTTGTGAGACTAAACTCCTGCTGTCTAAACAAGTAACGATTCATTTTAGGACAGACTTGTTCGTAGTTCATTGCAGGGCATCGAAAAGTGTTCTTATGACTTTCCGATGACTGATATGCAATTCCAGCAGCTTGGTGTGAAAATGTAAAATATCTAATTGATACAACAAAATGCCATCAGCAACCCATCCAGATTTTATTGCGTGATTGACAGTAGCTACAAACCGCAACAAATGGTCAACTGAAGACATAGGTACTAAGCGTGCACTAACTTCGAAGCGGTAGAAATCCTTAAGTTTTAACCTCCACTTACCACAATGTTGTTAATGGCAAAATGGTGTTTGCGGCAAAATGTTGCAGTCCTTCAGAATGGTGACGGTATCCTTCAGACCGATGATGACGGTGACGAAGGTTTAGTTAGAGTCTAAGTTTAGTCAACGCACCCGACGACGACGGTGTGCTTGTCATGGTGGCGACGAAAGTCTTCTTTCGCACATGCCTCAGCTGCCTCGGTCCGGGGTTTTGTCGACCCAACCGTCTCTTCCCAGCCGGTTGACGGCGATACTCACGACGGCCGTCACGGCTCTGATCACCATCCACTGGGCATTAGCTATGTGATCATCGGGGAGCAACCGCGCCCTTGTAGTTCCCCGTTGCGAAAACTCTCAGTGCGATTCAATTAGTAGCTGCTGCTCGACGGTCATCATCTCTCATCTTCGCCGTCTCTCGTTGTCACACTGCGATCACACGGTGCTTTTCGACAAGTGGTATTGTCGTCAGAAACAGTCGTCGTCCATCGCGAAGGCAACCGGGTGCTCGCGGAAAACCCGTCATTGTACGCGTTGGTCGAGCCATCGTTGAGCAACACGCATCGCCGCCATTTTCTACGCTCTAGAATCCTGCCCAAAGCTTGTTCCCCTTCGTTCAATAAAAGAGAGGTTAAAAGCACGAGCGCATCACCCCGAACGATCTTGCACGAACGTTGGCTTGCACTGCGCAAGCGCGCCTGCTCGACAGGGACGTTGAAAGCCCGGAGCACGTTCTTGTAGCTCCTACACCCGCACTAGCTCGCACTCATAGTGAAACAGAGAGTAGGGTGTGTCCAGTAATACCGCAGTTAATCTAGTGACGCAACTTCCGCTATGTGCTACATAGGTCGGACGTGGTCATACGTCACTTTGTCGTCACGGTCCGAACTCGAAGAGCGACAGTTACGGCAAACGGTTGCTTTCGTGTTTCGCGAACGTTCCCATGGGAACCGCGTGGAATTATCACGCGGGCTGTGACCAATAGGAGCGCGCGGTTCGTAGGGGGGAGGAGTTTTCGAGAAACGCGAACGTGACCGTTTGTGACCAGAATAGCACCCCTGCCCTGCCCAGGGAAGGTCACGAAATCGGACTCGCCAGGGCTTGCTTTGCGTAGTACAACCTTGAGCGTCTCCAACTGCCACTCCTGTAGACGCGCATGATCTGGTACGGACCGCGAGATCACAAGATAAATACGAAAAACCATTTTTAACGCCGCCGAAGACGCGGTTTCACGTGTACCAAAAAAAAAAAAAAACGGAAAAAAAAGCTTCGGAAAGCTAGATATTTTGGTGTCATTACGCAGATAAGAGTCGCGTCCCTGGGGGTGTCATTAATCCGGCACTTTCGATTGTATTGCGACATTGTTTCTTCAGAGCTACACTCCAAAATAAAATATCAGTGAAGGTGCTATCAGTAGTGCGAAACCCAGTCAGGTGAGTTTGTAATATCCGAAATGAGGGCGCCACAGTTTGTTCAAGTCTTCAGCTTAAAAGGTCTTTCTCAGGTTAAAAG